CCGGGATGCTTCGAGTGAATCTGGGGATTGAGTGACGAGGATGTGTGAATGAACTGAGATCAAGATACCGATCGTAAGCGATGAGATTCAGGATGATTCTCGTAATTTCAAATGGACCGATTATTTGAAAGTGAAGAACAGGGGAGATCGAGCTACTTAACAACACTCGATCATATTACCCCACTACACATCAATTGAATGAACGGAAAGAAGCATGCCGATCAGCGAGTGGACAATGCGAGATCGGCGCCTTCTCCCTGCAGACGCGATCTCGGTCGAAGCCTCTTCAATATCTTGCAGATACCTGCAGGCAATCTCGATGAGAAGGAATCTGGACATAGCATGAAAGGCTCTACAACCGCCACGACCGTCTGTCAATTGCTGTATAAACAGTTCACAGTTCGGCCGGCATCGATAGATTTCTCTCATCTCGTGCCCTCAGACGTGCGCAGTGACATTCGTCCGGTGTTGGGGGAAAATCGTCCAGTGTAGTCGCCGACGAGCATTCGCCACTTGAACATTCCCCTCAGCAACAACGTATGCAAGCATCCTTGTCGACGTGACCATCCTAAATCTTCCGAGGTGCATAGAGCACTCATTGTCTCTAAATGCAATCCCTGGCTGCGACCTGAGACGACCCTGCAGGCTCACGCTAGCCGGTGCGGGCTCCCTGGCATGGCCCAATTCCATTTGCAGATTTCTGGCATGAGTCTTCACGTGATTCTAATTTGAGATAACGGGCCAAAGGAATTGCGTGCGCACCGGCAAGGTGCTAATTTCGGAGCTGTGGAAGTATCATAACACGCGTGATTTGAAAGGAAATGAGGAGACACTAATTGCACCAAATGAAAGATGCGGATCATATTTTGGACCTCGATATTGCGATAAAATGAGAAAATGTGTATTGAAAAGGCGCCCTCCGTCGTTCTCGGATTGACACCTGTCAGGCGAAAGGGAACAACAAAGGATTAGGTTGGCGTCCGACAACCTTTCGACTGGAATTCACAACCTTGATTCTGGCTGGACGAGTGTTTGCCGACCGTGTCACTGGAGAATGACTAGATTTGTCACCCAGATGCTGTCAGTCCTCAACCCGCAGTCGCTCTCATGGGTGGAGGATTTCAAAAGGTTACATGTTAGATTGGACGCGTTCATTTTAGATACAACTTTTCCATCTTGTTCGTGCTTGTCACCTGTCGTCCATGCCTTTGCCCCTGCAGATTGATCCGCAGCCCGTGACCGTGGCCAGTTCGATGCGAGCAATGTCAGGGCAGGCTTTGCATATGCCAAATCTTCTCTCAACCGCAGTAGCAGGAAACTCTGTGCGTTCGTCAAATATATTACTGTAACTCAACGCTGGTAAGCCCCGTAGAATTCTGCGCAAGGATAGTCTCCAATCATTTTGCGCTCGCGCAGACAGCCATGAATCGTCTGACAGAGCCTTGTATCCAGCATTGACCGCAACTTCGGATCCGGTTACGGGCGGGGCGCAGTCATACGCTCGGGAAGATACTGTGTTCGGAGGTCTTTTGAGCTGGTGTTTAGTTCTGTCATGCCATGATCAGAGGAATGGCCTTCATGTCACGGCCACCTTTGCAATACTTGTACAGACCATGCTGCAGCTAGTATGATCGATTTACAACTGATGAGCACAATCACCATGCTTCACAAGGGCCTGATGTGCACAAAAGTTGCATGCTGCATCAGGAACCCAGTATCCGTGGGTTCGAGATCTACCAACGCCGAAGTTGTAGGCCAACAGAAGCCCGATAAGCCGTTCTCTGCCGACAAGGGCTACAGGGCGAAGAGGCGTTTGTCTTCACCGTGGTGAATGACACGGCATGGAGCCTCGGTAGACTCGAGGGAGATTTCATCTCAGGCTATTTGGTACCATCAATGAAATAGAGGTGCCATGGCACCACTTAAAGATATGCAAGTAGCCGAAGAGATAGCGATAAGATTTTCTCTACAGCGGTTTTAGTTTCCAATGTTCCATCTAGATTTATCTTCGTGCGAGTTGAAGTGGTAAGCGCTACGAAATCCGTGTTGTTCTTAAGTCCAATCATCGCGCGTCGGTGTCGTAAGAAATGGCTGTATAAACGAGAAATTTTTTATTTCCTGATGACCGCTCAAGCCAAGGCTAGCTCAGTCGTCGTAATCGCATGTCCACGAGCGACTTGTAGCTCTTACCACTGCGAAATCTACGCTGTCGAGATCCTGCCGTATCTTCGGTCGACGGACCAATGCCAGCGGCTTGAGCCTCGAGTAGGCTTTCTGACCTATGTTCCTGTGATTGTTTATGCGATAGAGATTCATCTCGGTATTCAAAAAGTGAGCTCTCGCAGCTCATAACCGAATCTACTTCACACTCCTTCTAGAATTGCAAAAGCCTTTGGGTCAGGGGGCCTGAAGAAAGCCATGTTCTTTTGGCACGCATGGGTCAGCATCTGTCCAGGCTCCATCGTTGTCGGCCCCGATCTTCTTGACCTTAAGCTCCTACCTCAATATGATCCCTACAACCAAAGGCATTTCAATTGCTTTTATACGTCTTCTCCATTCCACATATTGTCCACCCCGACTTCGGGAAGCCCGGGTCCACTTTGTTTGCAAATCTCGCAAGACCTCTTTGACCTGGCCACCTCCTCTATTGAGTGTAGGTAATTCAGGGCGTCGATCACGTTAGGGCCGGACTTGTCTTCGAGTCGTGTATCTTTCATGTCCAGTACCGTCTACATGTTTGTGTTTAAAGCTTGTGTCGATCTCCTGCGAGCACACTTCCCTCATCATTCAACTTCCAACATGCCACGCTGCTGGTGACCAAGCTTGGATCGCCATGTGTGAGGGATGGTGGGGTTGAAGACTGAGGAGGGGAGGGTGAGGCGCGAGGAATGGGAGCATCTGCAGCAGACGAATCAAGAAATCATCGTGCTGCTGAACCCTAATCAGCAAACCCCCTTAGGAATGTGGAATATGGTGTTTGTACCTCTCTAGCGTTATGAGCTCCTTTAGAGCCAGGTGGTTCCTGCTTTGAGAAGCTTGTTCATGTTGCGTGAAGCAGCCGAATGGGCGCGGCCGCCCTTCATGCCAAGGAGGGAGGGAGGGCCGATGAGCTCAAGCTTGACATTTCGAGTTTTAGGTGCAAAAGCATTGATGAACCTTTTTTGGGAATGGGTATCATTTTAGCATGGCCCCACGAGCTTGACACTATAACGCTGCGCGCTTCTTTAGGGGCACCCTCAATGCTGCTCGACTGGGTGCGCCTCCGAGGATGAGGGTTCAGCACCTCAGGTCGATCACCGTAGGTCGTCTGAAGAGGGCGGGCAGAAGGTGGGCTCGCCGAGTCGTTTCGAATGAGTACTTTGTAGCATCCAGGGTCTTCTCATCTTGTAAGAGTGCTTTGGTGCTCTTGCGGTTTGGGAGGCTTTTGTCGAGAGATGGTGGAGTGCGTTGGTCCGACCGAATATTGATGCGGCACAGGAATGAGAAGATTTTTATGTTCTTTCAAGAGAGCGATGCGAATTAGAGGGTATGACTGAGGCAATATGGATGCATTCTAGAAGGAAGGAGCTGTGATGAGCACGAGGTGGATGCGAAAAATGTGCCAGGAAACCTGAAACCCTGTGAGTCGAAGATCTCTCGCCTGGAAAGAGGCATTGCGCACAACTTACGCCTAGCTTTCAGATTTATGCGAAGGGACGGCGCGTCCAGCGGTGAGGCATGATTCATCGCGCGAAGTAAAGGTAGGATAGTGAAAACGAGTCTTGTGAGCCTAAGTATTTGAATATTGAATACGGCTACGCAAAGGCGAAGGTCCGCTTATTCTAGCATCGGGAAATCCCTTAGGGGGCGCTTTGGCCCTACCAGCCCCCCCACAGTCCTCTACGCGCTATTCTACGAGCGGACATTGTGAGCGGGCCGAGCCATATATTGCGTTGCACTAAGATTAAGGAAGGGGGAAGAGCTAGAAGGACGAGAAGAGCAAATGGGAAGGGGAGAGGGAATGGTCAGCAAAGGGACAAGGCAGAGAGAGGAGAAGGCAGAAAGTGAAAGGGCATAGAACTATAGATGAATGATTCGTCTCCACGCTTCCCAGATCACCTGAGGCTTCTGGATAGGACTGTCATTTCCGTAAGATTACCATCTCATGCTTTTCTCGATTTCACACCTACTCTCCCCCTTCACCCCTCGCCCAAGGGGTAGAAATGCTTTCAAGGAAAGGAAACACGTCTGCAAAGATTGCTTCGCGTTCTCCAAAAACTAAAAGATGGTGTCTACAAATCAGTCGTCGGCGAGCGGCAAGAAAGCCAAGTACCAACGAGCCTACGTTCAATAGCATCGAGGTTCCCGTTCTTGGATCCGAGCTATTCTGGCTTTAAACCGTCATATCATGATGCGAGCAGCGCGCCTGCAGCCTGGGCCCTTACTGCGCGACGTGAGACTGATGGATCCAGCAAATTTATCGCGTGGCAAGTCTGCCTATATGGGGAGGGAAAGATAGACGCAGCGCTCCAGCCAAGGCAAAGCACCTCCTGATGCGACAAAGGAATCGATTAATCGCCTAGACGTTGGACGCATCTGGGGCTCGTTACTGTTTATAGCGCAGGTTGAGGTATTCCCGCCCAATTATGCGAGCCGTTTCGTTTCGCAGCGATAGCCTCAGCCTTGATTCCGTACGGCAACGTCTTCTGAAAGCGACACAATCCGCCTCCCGGACCAAATATACCTGTGTGCTCCCCTCTAATTGCTCTGACTATTGTTACAGCTAGTACCGCTTCACATGGTATGTTGCCGTTGCTAAAGCTCTTATCTCCTCTTTTTGAGGGTCTAGTCTATTGATAGATCACTCTTCCATTGAGCAGCTTTTTACATGGATTCTTTAAATTTTGAAAAGACATTACATCTCGCGTGGAATTATCTAGTCTGGGACAAGCATTTATATAGCATGCAGCTGCCTGCCGTACAAACGATTGCTTCGAGTATTTACTCTTTCGTTTGTCGCAATGTTTGTTCTCTATGTCGTGTTGGCGAGCTTCATCAGCATCGCCTTCTGCGCTCAAAGTGTCTATTTGATTCAAGTACCTTTTCATGGCACAGAATTTGTAGGAACTGATGGCGAAACCTATACTCGCACATACGTTGGCATCTCGGTCGAGGCAACAGACACCTTACCAGGCTATACCTTCGACTTCGTGGACATCGATGTCGCGGCACCAGGCGAATATGCTAACTGGGAACTGGATCGGACCAAGACGAAAGCTCGAGCAAGGCGATTTCCCGCCGGAGCGGACGGTATCAATCAACAAAGAAGCTTAGTCTTAGGTCCTACAGGAAATGCTATAGTTTCGTACGTAGGCCGTACAGAGCTTAAGGGAGAACCAGATATGGTCAGATTTGCCAGTACTGGTAGTGGGACAATATCCGGTGCTTTCTCGGAGGCTATAATGCAAAATCCTCGTATGTCATGGCCTATTAGTGCACTCGAAGACCTCAATGATGAGCATTCAATGTTGCAGCGTTTTCTGAAAACGCTCATCCCGAACCCGAGCCCGACGGACATACCTTTCTTGGATGTGCGGACGAGCGCTTTGACTTATTTTCAGAAAGCTACACAAAGAATACAGGCAGCACAGACTTGGAAGGCAAAGAATGCGCGTACCTACGGTCGCAAGGTGGTTTTGATGGCGATCTCCAAAGGCCAGGCAGACGCTACGTTGTACAAGATTACGGGGGCTTTTAGAAAAGAAGAGCGAGCTCGATGGGAGGCGTCGTTAGATATACGTCGTTCGCCGGCGACTTATGGAGGCACCTCCTTTGAAGATCCCCCAGGCATGGGCGATCCACCTCCCCCGTACCCCGATCCAAGACTGAATCGCCAGAATTACGACCGCCCTCGGGATATCGACAGCGCCTACGTTTGCCGAGGGCCGGGGGGAGGTCGACCTCAGCAACGCAGACGAGATGGACGCCTGCTGAAACGCGATGTGTGTTCATTTCCTGGCGATGGTACTCAGCGAGGCACAATAAATGGCGATATCGTCACACGAGCGAAACTCGATGGCAAAACAGTATCTGAAGTCCAGACTCTAAAGGTGTCGGCAAGAGCGGCTGGTATTGGTGCCACCGGCGCTGCGGTCGTGGCAGCTATCTCGTTTGTGGTGGTAGACATCCTCGATGGCAATTGGGTTGGTGCAGCACTAGGAATCGTCGGCTTAGCGGCACTGGGAGCTGTCGCTATCACCGAGCTACTCGCCCAAACATTTCCTCCCCTCGGCTTTTTCGTTGACATTGCCATCAGTGCCCTCATGATCGCACTCCCCGGTGTGTTCGGAGAGAAGAAGGTAGCGCCGAAGCTGACCGATCCCGTGGGCATCATTCGTCTGATGTTCTTTGGCGATGAAGATATCACCGGCAATGAAGGCTGCCAGAAAGTGACCGATGACAATCCGAACCCAGACCCAAATTGCGTGGCAACATATGGTAAAGGCGTCATTGAGAAAATCTTCGATTGGCTACACAGCCAAGCTGCCTTTTTCATGATCGCATGCAATGGTGGATTCCCAATGACAATCGAAATCATCGCAGGCTGCTTCACAGTCATAGACAGCGTCGCCGACAAAAGCCCCACTGCCATCCCCGGCACCACCATAACCTGCAACACCGACAACGAGGACGGTGACTCCATAACCTGGAGCCTTAAGGGCGACACCACCTGTAAAGGCGTCAGCAAATTTGATATCGACCTCACCCAAATCACAGTCCCCTACCTCGACACCGACGCCAACGGCACCCTCATCGCTAGCACCAAACTCGCGAGTGACTTGACCTCGCTAATCGCCACCCCGGGCGGCCAAGGAGGCCCCTGCAACATCTTCTCCGACGTGTCGGGCGGCTACTTCATTGAATCCCTCAACCGCACCCTCGTTGGAAAACCCGTCTCCGTCGCTTGCGGCCCCGACACCGGCGCCGTCGGCCAAAGAATCGATATCGCGCAACCCACCCCTGCTAACCAACTGTTCTCCACCCTATCGAGCGGTCTCCCCACCGACGCCAACGCAGGGACAGGCTCCACAAGCGGCGACACAGTAGAGCTGGGCCCAACGCCCCAAGCCCCCGCCCCCTTGACAGGCTACGACGAGACGAACGGTATCTGCTTCTCCAACTCTCGCTCCACCGCCTGTCTGCCAAACGGGACGTACGACTTCCACGCCGACCTGTACGTCACACCCCCGCGCGACCCGGAAAATGACCCTTTCACGATGGACTCGGCGGAGAAAGTATACGGGCCCCCGGGCGCCAAATTGGGGATACAGTTCTACCACCAAGAGATCGCGCTGCCGGTAAACTCGAAAGATGATCTCCACAAGGCGCTGCTGACCGATATCGGCGGGGGCAGTCTCGCGCCTATCGATCTCGTCCTCCCCAACCCTGTGGTCGCTGCTGCTCCAGGCGCTTGTTTCTGGACGAAGACTAAATACAGCGGGACAGTGGCGTGCGCGAAGGTCCCTGGAGCCGGGGACTTACCCGTCCCAATACAAAAAAAAGTCAATAGTGTCAGCCTCGTAGGAAATGCCAACGTTCAGCTATTCGCGGGGGCGTATGCGGGGGTGGGCGGTGAGAATGGGACTATACCGCACGTGTGGCGGCAGTATGACGTCGAGGATACGAGTAGTATTCCTGTCGGTGCAGATAAGGATAGTTATGCGGCGGAGATTGTGAGTGTAAGTATTTTTGCGGGGGAGAAGACGGATGGGCCTAGTGCATGAAAGATAGAGAGAGAGAGAGAGAGAGAGATCTGAGGAGGGGAAGGGGAGGGGAGGGGGATAAAATACCCATCTATAGAGCATAGCGTTGCGTAGCAATACATAGTAATTCTTACTTTAAGTAGTATTATTAGAGATAAAGAAAAATTATAAGAATATTTATTTATATTATTTTAATATATAAAAAAAAGCCTTTTTATTAATGTCTTTTATTATTATAAAGCTTTTCTTTTTATTTAAACTTTTTAATTTTTAAAAGTTTTTTTATTAAAATATTTTTTTTAAAACTTTAAAATATTTTAAAATTAATTAATAAAAAACTTTATAAGTATTTAAATATTTAGGTTTTATTCTTAATTATAAGGATTTTACAGTTTTAAAGAACTATAAACTTATTTTTAATAATATTTTAAAAATAATAAAGATTTTAAAAAAACTTTTAATAATAATATTATAATATTTATAAATGTTTTTAAGGCGCTCTAGACGCTAGATATTATATAGAGGCGTGTAGGAAGTGTAAGTATATTTATAATTTATAGATAGGATATAGTAGTATTACTCTTAATAATTATTTAATAAATAAAAAAAACTTAATTTCTATTTTTAATACTATTTATTTAATATAAGGTTTATTAGTTCTAAACTTTAAATATAGATATTTATATATATATTAAAATATAAAATACTTAATTAAACTAGTTTTTCTTAGTAATATTAGTTTTAAATAACTTTTTCTATTTTTAAAAAAAATTTAAAGTTTAATACTATTATAAATATATATATATTTATAGTTTTTAAGTTTAAAACTAATAAAACTAAGCCTAAATAATATATTTTTTAAATAATATATATAAATATTACTTAAATAAGCTTGGTTTTATTAATAAATAACTTTTATTTCTAAAGTATACCTTTATATAGCTATATATAGTACTATACTATATTCGCTAGGGCTAGAAATTTATAGATAAATTATTATAATTAATTTAAGCTATAAAAGTATTTAAATAATAAATATAGTTTCTTTTAATTAAGTATTACTTTATTATAAGTTTTTTTATATATTAACTAAGTTAGTTAAAACTTTAGTAAATAAAAGCTTAAAGATATAGAAAAAAATATAAAAGTAAATATAATTCTTAAATAAATTATTATAATTTTATTTAATTTAATATAAACTATATAAGAATTAAAAGAGGCTATACTATATTATATACTAATATAATATATTATATACTAATATAGTATATTATATACTAAGTTACTTAATATATAATACTTTTATTATAAATATTTATATAGAAAGATATTTATTTTTAGACTTCTTTTACTATCTTTAGTTTCTTATTTATTAAGACTTTAGCTAGCTTAGCTTAGTAAATAATTATATATATTTATTCTTAATATTAAGTTAAAGACTATTAATATAAAATTAATATTATAAGTTATTTTTTTTTATCTTAAGTAATATTAAACTTTTTATTTATATTAAATAATATTATATTTTTATTAAAGTTATTGATATTAATTTATTTCTATCTTTTAATAAATTAATTTAAATTATTTAGAATTAAAGTATTAAGACTTAATTATATAATATAGAATAATATTAGAAATAGATTTAAAAAAAGACTTTTACTAGATTCTTATAGGTTTCTAATAAGTACCTAATTTTATAAATATTTTAGAAAAACTATAAAAGAAGAATTAATTCTTATTATAAAAAAATAATAATTTTTATTATTTAATATAAATTCTTTTACTTTTAATAATAAGTTTTTAAAATATTTTCTTACTTTTTAATAAGCTAGATTATTAATTTATACTTTTATATATATAATAAATTATAATATAATAGTTATTTCCCTTCTAAGAAATATTATTTTTAATATTTTACTAAGGCTTTATTACTTTTTTAATAATAGGCTATTATTTAAAGTTTTATATTTATATATTAATTTATATAATAAATATAATAAAGTATATTATAAAAGTATTTTCTTATTTATTATAATAATATATATTATTATATAAATAAATATAATATAGCCTTTAAGCTTAAATATATAGTTTTTATATTTAAATTTAAACTATTTATACTTTTTAATTATATTTTATTAAAAACTTTTAAAATTTTATAAAAAAGAAAATAGAAAAAGATATAAATTATTTTACCTTTAAATATTTTAAATTTAATATTATTAAATAACTATTTATAGCTTAAGTATTAATATAATAGCTAGGCTACTAAACTTTATATTTTAATAGTATATTTTATATTATAATTCTTATATAACTAAGTAGTAATATAAAGTTTTTAACTTTTTAATATTATTAAAATAGTAAATTTATATTATTTATAAAATAAATAGAATTCTATAGTCTTAAATCTCCTTTTCCTTTAAAAATATTTTATTATAAGAACTTAGAATTTCTATTAATATTTTATTTTTTAGTTATTTTAATTATATTTATCTTTTTAAGTTTATATCTTTTAATAGTTTATTATCTTTTAGTAATAAAGAATAGCCTCCTTTAAGTAATTATATTAATCTAAGTAAAAAATTAATATTAATTTTATATAAAGCTTATATTCTTTTTATATAATTATTATTTTTATAAGATTTGAGTTAAGAAATTAAATCTAGATATATAATAATATTATTATAAAGGCTTTAATATAGGTATTATATATATTTTATAGTATTTCTTATTAATTACTTTCTCTTTCTTTTAGCGTTCTAGTTATAAAATTTTAAGAATACTAGATTATATATATTAATATTTAATAATAAAATTATAAACTTCTTAAAGCTTATAACTAAAAACTAGCTTAAACTATTGCTTCTTATTATTCTAACTAAAGCTAGTTTTAGTATTAGAAGCTAAAACCTATTTAAAGCAACTTATTATCTATTTAACTAGGTTTATAATAAGACTATAGTCTAAAAAGTAATAAAAGACTTTTTAGTTAAAGTAGCTTATATTAAGAGACTTTTTAATTTACTATCTATAGGTAATACCCTAGCTTATATACTATTAAGATCCTTAACTTTAACTATACTATTAATAGAACCTAAATTATATAAACTATTTTTTAATATTAATACTATAACTCTTATAGTATTGACTATTAGGCGCTTTTTAAACAATATATTAGACTATAGTAATAAAAACGCTAATTAGTAAAATACTAGTTTTATTTAGTAATAATAGATAGCCTTATAAAGGCTTTTAATTTATCTAAATCCTAACTTTAACCCTAGCAGGTTTACTTTAGTTTTATTAATTAAAATAAATAATATATTAAAAGCTAATAATATTAAATATTTTAATCTAGAACTTAAGAATATAGAAAATACTTCTTTTATTAATATTAATTATTATATTTTCTATTATAATATTTATACTTTTATAAACTATATTAAAAATCTTATTTCTATTTATAGCAAGTAAAAGATTAAAGTTGCTTTTATAACCTATTTCTATAGAAGAATATTTATCTAGTACTCTTTATAACTTATAGAGTTTAAAAAAAACTTTTTAAGAGAAAATATATTTAATATTTAGTATTACACTTTAATATATTAGTTTAAAAAATAAACTTCTATTACTTTATCCGATTTTTAAATTAAGTAATATATTATATTAAATACTTATTCTAAATACTTGCCTTATACCTATATATAATATATTTTCTATTTTACTAAGTTAATAAAAATAATTTTAATATATAATTAACTTTTAATTACTTAAAATAACTTAGCTATAGAATTTTAATATAATATTAATAAACTAACTACTTTAATAACTTTAATATAATTCCTTAATTAAATTAATTTAAAAATAAATATTTAGTTTAAGCTAGTATACTAGTATTAAGCTTTTTTATATCCTAATATAAAGAAGCTAAATTTTTTTAATTAAAGTAAATATTAGTAGTTTATTTTTTCTTAGCTATAGCTATATTTTAATTCTTTAAATTAATATAGATAACTATATTAAAGAAATTAATATTTATAATAGCCTTTTTATTTATTATATAATTAGAACTATAATACTAACACTCTTTATTAATAATAATTATAATAAAAACCTTTTTTAGCTTTTTTTATAAAACTACTTTTATAGATTATAACTAGGAATATATTTAGAAATATATTTTATTTAATATTTTTAAACTTTTAAAATAATTAAAAATATTTAAGCTAAAAAGGCTACTAAAGTTAAAACTAAAGTAGCTACCTACAACGCCCTAAAGCTATAAGGGTATACTAGGCTAGTATTAAAAATAATAATTAGCTTAAATATAATAAATTATATAATAAAGGGTATACTTTTAATTTAAATAATTTTTTATTATTAGAAACTTTCTCCTATTATATAATAATAGAAAACAAGAATCTAGATTTTTTAATAATATATTATTAATTAACTATATTATATATATTACTTATTAAGGCTTATACCTAGTGTATTTCCTTATAAAATTCTTTAGAAAATATATTTAAAGAATATTTATAATATAGAATATAACTTTTATTATATAGTATCTAGTATTAAGAACCTTGCTATTAAGGCTTTAAAAGGGACCTATTAAGCAAATTAAAGTAAAAAAGTAATTATAACTATAATTACTACTGCTACTATACTTTTACTATTAAAGGCTTTATTTAATTCTACCTCTTTAGTAGATAATTTAAAAGTACTTTCTATTATAGTACTTAATACTAAAGCTAATATACTATTTATTATATCCCTTACTACTATACTTAAAACTATAATAATAAATAGTATTATAATTTATAATAAGGATACTAGCACTTTTAAGAAAGTTATAAATAAATTTCTAATAATCTAGACTAATTAAGGTTTTATAAATATTCTAGAAAATAAATAAATAAAATTTCTTTTAAATTAAACTAAGAATTTAAAATATTATTAAAAGCTAAAATTTATCTTATTAGGCTAAAGAACTATACTATTATTAATTAGACTTT